AAGAAAATAACTTGATTTCGGAGGATAATATTAAACTATAATGTCAGAATCTTACTGTACTTTATTAACGGAGATAATTAGTTAGATATACAGTTATCTTGTAATTAATTATATAAGTGAATCTAACAGCACAACGAGTTGGGATTACATTGTAAACCGATAGCAAAGTAATTGGTTCATAATCCCTTATAGTTATCATTCGACTTTAAGTGGTTAAAAGAAATGTCATGGCTAAAACCCCAGCACGTAAAAATAACCGGGACACTCCTGATATTAATCTACGTTAAGCTTATTTACGATGGCCTGTGTTATCGTCTGTACCTTCGGTTAAAGGTTTGAATTCGTGAAGAAACAGTAGCAAATGCAAAATAAAACATCAGGTTCCCTTTTAGTTAAAATGTCATTGCCACGTCTTGTTACAAGCCAGGTACGTCTCTAGTGTCGGAAGTGTAGTTCGACTATCGAACCTGAAGCACCAGATAACACAGGAATTACCTGACTTGGCAAACATGGCGGAAACATTTCTCTTGCATCTTCAAACAGTAGCTATATATATATATATATATGAGTTCAACTCTCAACTGCTCTCATGAGGCATTGAGAGAGAGAGGGTAAGAGAAGAAACCAAGACATCTAAATGCATTTCAATTTGTAAAGTTCCCCATCTTTCCTTAGATGGGAGAAAAAGACTTGAATCCCTTACGAGTTTCTTCTAGAGACACTTTTTATTCTTTTCAACGAATTTCCTCTAAGAAAAACTTACAATTCTACTTCTCATTTTTTTTCTTCTAGTACACGTTGCTCTATTAATTCAGTGCATTACATTTATATAAACGACTCTTGTATGCAAGGCTTACAAAGTGCATTCTTCATGAAAATTAATGTAGAGAAATAAATTTATGATATTACCAAAGCTTATTATTTTAGGAATTTTATTTGAATATTGTTGGAAATTTTGATCACTTTACACGGCTACAGATATGTTTTGATTAACAACTTTCCCATAAGAAAATATCATTTATATGAAAATGTCTTAATTGCGCAGATATATTACTGTATTTTGTTTCTGTCACTGTGTCTTGTTTTATTTTGTTTCCTACCTAGTAAATTGTAGCGCAGAAATTATCTAGAGAAACATTACTAATGTACCAGCTGCTAACCACAAAAACTCCCTGGAAAAATGTATAAGCTAAATGATGAGTCTTGACGTACGAACTGAATTGTTGTTAATATAAAATAAAATGTGAGACGTGCAAAATCAAAAGTATTGGCTTGCCTACTTATTTTCAACAAATTGGTCATTGCATTGACGAACATAGATGACACGTTTTGGCCTGTCGAAATTCACAGCTTAATTGAAGCAAACATGCAGCACAATTTATACGAAATGAACCACTAGCAAAATCCTTATTATCATTCATTTCAATTTCATATTTTCTGTTCGAAGTAGCAGTCCATTCGATGGGTTATAGTGTGTACTGGATGTTTTGTTATATTTTTTTTTGGAATTGCAATTGTATACGAATTGTAATTCAGCGAATGCAATAAAAATAACTTGTGACCATTTTCCATCGCATTAAAAGTCATATAAGTGTATTAACACCGGAAAATATTGCGTAGTTTTATTTTTAAATCTGTGAATGTTTTTTCGTGTTAGCATATTTTCTTTGGCCTTTGAAATACTGGGTTGTATTAATAAGAAAAAATGGCTTCTTCGACAATTCTCATTTATTATCTGGAAATGAATATTCATTATTTAGTACAGATATATTTAATGACAAACAATAATAGAAAATTAATATACAATTTTATTCGGAAAATGTGTACTCATTTTTTCATACATTTATTGCATGAAATAGTTATAACAAATTAACAAATAGTGGTTAGATTGTTGGTGTTACGAAACGGGGCCCGACCAACAAAAGTAAAGTCCAGTAATTTCTGTTACATGAACAATTTTAATATAACAAACTACTCTGCAGTAATTTTACATTTTAATGAAACCAAAGTCTGAGCATATATTATAATTTGTCATTTATGAAAAAGTAAAACCTCATCTTCTCCTGAGGGAAAAAAGAATTGGATGACCTTGACTCAAACCATTGTCAGAGTTCACACAATTATCGGTGTTCCCCACAATTAATATTTATTCTCTGTCTCTGTTCAGTATTTATATTATATGATATTAAAATCGCATGCCGCATTTACGTATATTATTAAAATGAAGACAGCAGCAACTAACTGCCATTTTCTTTCGCTCTAAACACCCACAAGTAAGCAACAAAATATCTTAGTCGTATTTGTAATATTTTGGTCAGTTACCTCACTTTCGATTAGAATTACTTTCCAAAAGGTGATATTTTGTTAGCACAGTAAATAAATTTATGATTCCATAAAAGCATGACGTTTCTTGAACAACTGACTGAGCTTTCCAGAACACCCTGCACTAAGGAGATAATTATTTTGCTAATTAATTACTCTTCTCCAAATATTCGGTTAAGTGAGGCAAACGAGGATGAGATAGGCGAGAAAATCAAAATTTTACTTTGGGGGGGGGGGACTTTATTTGGGGTAGGTTGGTGTATAATATTGAAATGGATGTTGATTAAATGAGTTAATGAGTTGTGAAGGTATTGACTGGATTTACCTGGCTCAAGTTTGGATTCTATTGCTGACTCTTGTAAACTCATAAATGAGCATTCAGGTCATTGACTAGCAGAGCAACTATCAGTTTCTCAAGACAAAACCCGCCACTTGGACTCTGATTATTTAGTTAGTTGAACCCTTATGGTTGAAGTACTTGGCTGTTAGCGTCAGCATAGCCCAGAGGGCTAACCATGCGCTGTCCAGACTAGAAATCCAATTCTCTCTGTGCACTGAAACACTTGGAGCAAAGGGTTCTTGGACTGTGACTACGGATGGTACCTTTCTGACTTGTCAGTCGTGTGACTAAAGTCTGTAATGGGAGACACGCTTTCAGGTCGCGTAAAGCGAATTGTGAGCAGTGTTTTGACTAACTTTTACGACATCGTCATGAAACTAGCATCTGTCCTGATACCGGCAAAGAATTAACCAGTTGACGAATTCCTTATTTACAGTTAGTAAATATTATTCATGATTTACGTAAATTGGAAAAAAAATATGGAAAATTACATTTTTGTTAGTGAAATTGTAATATTAATTTCCATACTAATTGATTTATCAAAGACCGATCAGTTCAGTTCCCTGTCAACTTCAAACGAAGAATGGAATGAGGTTAGACGTTTCCTTCGCTGCAGAGCAAGGGATTTGTCACTGATAGTGCTGGTAGTGCGATATCACTGTTCGCTGGGTTGCGTCAGACTACGTATGGAGACAGCAGAAGAAAGAGAGATTGTTTGACAAGAAGGGGGAGTCTTGTCATGATTTCGGTAGTGAAAGGTATGCATCTCCAAGTAATGGGATTTTGAGATTATTGTGAACGAAGGCTGAAGATGTCATTAGAAGCAGTGGAATATTAAAGTTGCGCCTTAGGAGCTTTGAAAAACTCAGTATATTAAAATTTTCATTTCGTTCCTCCATCTTCTGTCATTTTGTAACTCCTTCATTCGTCACCAAACTTTCCTTCGTGGTATCTTGTTTTGATGCGCTGCTACAATTATTGTGGTGAGATTTACAAAACTTGTGAATTCCTGCACTTTTGAAGGACCTGAACTTCAAAACAGGTGTTTTAATGGTTTCAGTGACCATAAGAATAAGAATAGGAACTCCAGCGCTTTGGAGGAGAGTAGTTATTTAGAGAGTTAGTTAGTTAGTTATGATAAATGACTTCTCACGGTGGTTAAAACATAGTACAACCACAGTGACGTGCTATACGTTGCGGATGTACGAGGTATAAAATTTGCCTTAGCAGATTGCTTCTAACCGAGATCTTCCAATATCTTTCTAATTCAACCGAATTAAGTTTACAAATGTCTCTTCTCTTGTAGCTATGGACTTTCCGTGGCGGGAGAGCCACAAACAGTTTGGTCTTAAATTAATAGGACTATGTCTACCTCCTGCCTCGGTGACATTCAAACGGTACACATCAGCACGCACAGTGAAAAATACTGTACCTTGTATTATCTGTGCTCCCTTACCGTGTGAGAAAATTTAGTGCTTTTCTTAGCTGCAGTCAGTACTGCGCATGATCAATCCAGAAGCGCGATTAGTTTCATACATTACAAATCATGCGCCAGCTTCTTCGTGGTCTATAGTGGTTTTTTTTTTCAGTGACGATTCAGGATTCCAAATGTCAGTAAGGAATTCAATACAATGAACTTCAGTAAAATGAAGTCTGTATTGTGTATATGTTTTATATCAGAGTTTCAGTGGAAGAACGGTAAGCAATGCTAGAAAATCCCCCCCCCCACCCAAATTCACAGTTTCGCGGCAAATTATTTAATTAAAATTAGCAGATTCCTTATTAAGAAACTAATCAAGACTTTCCTAGTCTGCTGGGGAACCTTGAGGTTCTTTATCGTGTTCTCAAAAGCCCTACACATTTTCACAGCGCTAATTCCAGTCCTGGTGCACACATACCAAAGTATGAAAAATAGACGCGAATTTGTCCATGCAGATTCAATTTTTTTTGTCTTCATATCATCAAGTACACACAGAGCGCACAGAAGTCTTAAAAATTACCATAAAACTTTAAAAAACTCACACGAAACTTAATTGACAAAATTATAAATACGAATATGTCGTCTTTCATCAGCAGTTCGGAATATATTAAGTGCTGATGCAAAAATGAATATTGTTGTAAAGTGACGGTGCAAAGAACGCCTTTCCAGGATCTTGGTCATTTTGGCAGAAACTTTTCCCACCACGTTTGACGTCAACGCTTCGGTGCTGTCTCTTCTTTAGCGACAGGCGTTGGACATTTGCATGGACCGTCCAGACTGACAGAAGCCTCAGTAATTCTGTAGAATGGATGGGGTTCAGTAACTTGGCGCCTACTTAACATCTCCTTTATGAGGCATTTATACCGCTCTCAGTCCCGCCTTCCACTCTCGTTCTATCTTCTCCCTTTCTTGGGCCTAATTAACAAGAAGACAAACATAAGCCTCAAGTCGTATATAGAGTAGTTAAGAGTTGCTTTACGAGGAATAATCCCATAGAAGTGATATGGCCGAGTAGAAGCCGAAGTTGAATTAAAACGTTTGTATCAAACCCGAATGTAACCAATAAAGAAATATTTTTGTACATAAACCTGATAAACTTCTGCCCATCGTCTTTTAACACAACCGATCTCTCTAAGATCTGTGTTAATATTTTCCCCTATATCCTTCCAGATCCTAGAAGTTTGATAATGAAATGTCTTTTGCACAGAAATGAGTCATTAAATGGCTTAACTCTTTAAATGGTATATAATATGTCCCACCTGCTTCGATATTCAGTAACTTCATGTATTAATTGTTTTTGTATGATTTTCGCTGTAAACAGGAATTATTTCCTAAGACAGCATTAACCAGTTGATATTCTCAACGGTGAAGTGTGGTGTTTTCTTAGCGGTACGGGCTGAACTATGAAATAACATTTAGACGATCTTCTGCTTGGAAAGGTTAATTATTTATTATTATTATTGTTGTTGTTGTTATTTATTTCGTCGTGAAGGCTCTTGACATAAATAGGTGTGACAAGTTATTTTCAGAACGAATTGTTTAAATAAACAACGAAGGGGAAGTTTCAAAAACCATAAAGATCTCACGAACCTTGAGCGCCTTGTTGTATTCAATTTGGTCTAGAAGGTCCTTCGCGTACTTCTGCTTCAGGAGTCTAATCTGATTATCGTGCTCAGCCGTTAGCTTTGCGTTCTGCAGCCTCGCCTTCTCCTGCATCTTTAACTCTTCTTCTTCTTGCTTCTTCAGTTTATCAATCTTCTCCTTCTGTTTCTCTACCTGCGTCATCCTCCCCTGCAACACTTCCTGCAACAAGATTCACTTTCGCTGGTTTCTTTATCTCTCTGTTTTGCCCAAAGGTTAATTATAGTGGAGGTAGTTGAAACAGTGAAGATAAATTACGTGATTTTTTGTTTGAGACTGAAAAGCGAGAGATTGGTTTAAAAAAAACTTCCCAGAAGCCAAGATCGTTAAGGAGATAAGGTGCTTGCGTTTTGAGTTTGTGACGTTGTTAGACCTATCAGCAGCCAGAACATGCTTCTAGGAACGCAGTGCCACCTAAGGACTCTCTTGTCTTGAAGTCATACTCATTTTAATTTGGTGCATTCTGCTATCTCAGACGAAGCATTAGGGACAAAGTAATGACGTCATAATTATGTTGATGCACAAGAAATGTCACAGCCAGAATTAGGTTAGTTTAGATCTGAATTGTAAGTTCATGGTTTGCAATTTGGTTCGTTGTGCTCAAAGTCGCGAATTAAGTCAGCTGTAAACGATATAACCAGCCAGTTAGCTTCTGTCTGTAGAGTTCTTATTAGTGGTATTTTCCGTCGTGATGAAGTTGTCACGTAAGCTGCTTTGTCAAGGTTGTACCCAAAAGCTAAAAGAAATATTTATTTAATCGCGTTACATTAATAATAAAAAAGTAATAAATTTTGAAAATGAATAATCAAAACCAGTTTTCGGTGGTTATTACTGTTTACTAGAAATGTTACAAGATTTTTTAACCCGCCGTCCTGTAGGCCTATATGATAAGACTGAAAATGTGTCCGTAAATGTAACAATCTTGCACACAGCCTGTGTTATTTTATGTTTTTAATGTCTCGCATTGCCACGCCTTATTTCTTTAAGCTCCATTCTGATACGAATGCCTAGATCTCCCATGTGAACACAAGTTATTTTCAGAACGAATTGTTTAAATAAACAACGAAGGGGAAGTTTCAAAAACCATAAAGATCTCACGAACCTTGAGCGCCTTGTTGTATTCAATTTGGTCTAGAAGGTCCTTCGCGTACTTCTGCTTCAGGAGTCTAATCTGATTATCGTGCTCAGCCGTTAGCTTTGCGTTCTGCAGCCTCGCCTTCTCCTGCATCTTTAACTCTTCTTCTTCTTGCTTCTTCAGTTTATCAATCTTCTCCTTCTGTTTCTCTACCTGCGTCATCCTCCCCTGCAACACTTCCTGCAACAAGATTCACTTTCGCTGGTTTCTTTATCTCTCTGTTTTGCCCAAAGGTTAATTATAGTGGAGGTAGTTGAAACAGTGAAGATAAATTACGTGATTTTTTGTTTGAGACTGAAAAGCGAGAGATTGGTTTAAAAAAAACTTCCCAGAAGCCAAGATCGTTAAGGAGATAAGGTGCTTGCGTTTTGAGTTTGTGACGTTGTTAGACCTATCAGCAGCCAGAACATGCTTCTAGGAACGCAGTGCCACCTAAGGACTCTCTTGTCTTGAAGTCATACTCATTTTAATTTGGTGCATTCTGCTATCTCAGACGAAGCATTAGGGACAAAGTAATGACGTCATAATTATGTTGATGCACAAGAAATGTCACAGCCAGAATTAGGTTAGTTTAGATCTGAATTGTAAGTTCATGGTTTGCAATTTGGTTCGTTGTGCTCAAAGTCGCGAATTAAGTCAGCTGTAAACGATATAACCAGCCAGTTAGCTTCTGTCTGTAGAGTTCTTATTAGTGGTATTTTCCGTCGTGATGAAGTTGTCACGTAAGCTGCTTTGTCAAGGTTGTACCCAAAAGCTAAAAGAAATATTTATTTAATCGCGTTACATTAATAATAAAAAAGTAATAAATTTTGAAAATGAATAATCAAAACCAGTTTTCGGTGGTTATTACTGTTTACTAGAAATGTTACAAGATTTTTTAACCCGCCGTCCTGTAGGCCTATATGATAAGACTGAAAATGTGTCCGTAAATGTAACAATCTTGCACACAGCCTGTGTTATTTTATGTTTTTAATGTCTCGCATTGCCACGCCTTATTTCTTTAAGCTCCATTCTGATACGAATGCCTAGATCTCCCATGTGAACTTTGCCCTCAGGTTCTCGTATAAAAGTTTTTTAATTTTCCCCGTTCGTGAATCATTTCGTCCGGCAAACACAGATGTCTCCACTTGTCTTCTATCGCATCCAGGTTATGAATTCAGTCCCAGAATCTGAACCAGTGACTTCATCAGTCAAAAGCCTTATGTGAACCCTTATCGAATTTCATCATTCTGATCCGGCCGTGTACTCTGAATGGCATCCACAATGTTTTCCAACACAGATTGCAGACGGTTTCGCAAAACACCTACTTCAGGTCGACAAACTTGTCGAGTGAGCGCGTGAGTTCAATTCCTGGAAATGTTCCGTTTCGCAAAGGGACTCATTGCAACCTATCACCATGTCATTTTAGTAATTAATGGAATCATATTAAATCTGGGGCAGTTTAGACATGCATTTCAATCGATTTTGCGTCATTGATAAGTGGATTTAATTAAGTTTGAATGCACACAGTATGTTCAGATATTAACTTCTTTTGGGCTCGTAATATTGCTTGTGAATATTTAATGATACAATTCCATTTCAAAACATCCGTGATGCGAATAGATTAATAAATTCCACAGATTTACAGAATTATACCAATTTATACAGATGAACGTTCGATTAATCCAGAACATTAATGCGTAAGTAATTTAAACCTTTGCCAACCTTATGCCGCTATCAGACTATATTTTAATGAGTTAAGTCTGGAAGGGCGGTGTTTTAATCGCACACCTAATTTCAGCGGCGTTAGGAAAATGGGGCAATAAATTACTCTTTGAAGAAAATATATCAAACAAAGGGGCCACAAATATCAGTTACGAAATACTGAAGGGTCGCATTAAAAGATCGTAACAGTAAAAATAACAAGGATTTCCGAAGCTGCCAGTTCAAAAAGAAATTAAATTAATTTTGTATTTTCAATACGATAATGACGAAATAAATTATGTTACTGTTCAACACAATAAAGATTTATTCCCGCCAAATTTTCCCCAGTAATCTAATAATATTAATCCAATGAATGGACCAGGTGACAAGTTTTCGAAAATTTACGTGTGAATATCATTAACACCTTTCAACTCCATCAGCAACACCATCATGTCGTCCGGGCGAACATCTGAGATGGAACAACATTAGCGACATTCATATGTCGCGCTGTATTCTTATAAAATATGTAACTTTTTACTGCAAAGAATGAAAAAATTAAATAATAACTTAAATTAAGTGTAAAATATTTGCCCATGATTGTGTTACAAAGACACCTGCAAGTAATAAGAGAGTTAAGCTTACTGAAACTTATAGAGTCTAATCCATCTTAACCGTAAAATACTTTACGACAACTGCGAACTATTTTAAGATTTGTTTCTTAACAGAAGGCCTTTTGTAAAGGGAAACCTTGACGTTGAAATGATAAGCAGTAAAATTTAGAACATTCTGTCTAAAGTAACTTAGATACGAGTTTAATAGTTTAAAGCTAGCTTACGTCCTTGAGTTTCTTGCGCGCTTCTTTAAGTCTTATCATCTTCTCTTCCCTGTGTGCCTCAATTTTATTCTTCTCATGCTGCAGAATTCTCTCTAGTTCGGCTTCCTCGGTGTCTCTTTGCTGCTGCAGTTTCGCTAAGCTTTCGCGGTACAACTGCGATTCCCTCTTCAGTGTTTCCTGAAAACACAAATTCACTTACGTAATCGGTGTTTTGGGGACCTAGCAAAAGAATGGTTGTGCTTCAATTCGTGCAGAGAAAATTGTTTTGTGTTTATGCTATAAGGTTTTGACACGTGGTCTTTTACATAGAAAAACTAAATCATTCAAATTTTGCCGTTCGTGTTTTTTTTGAGCAAAATTTATCTATTTCCGCAGTCACCTTTGAGCCGTCGTTATCATGTAAACAGTCTGCTGACGTCACCGCCCATTTAGTGACAGGAACACATTTGGAATTTCAGTTTACGCCAATAAATACACTTTTCAATTTAGAGGCAGTGTTTGATACCCCTTCAAAACAATTTAAAAATTGTTTCTTTTTATAATTTCTGGAAATACACTGGTAAATAACAAATTTCAATAGTATAAAAATTCTTCTGAAAATTTGGTCGCTGTATAACAAGAAACTTCGAGGTTTATATTAGTCACGTGGTATTGTTAAGACAGTGAGATCTAGGACACGTGATGGGTTGAACATGTTACTCGGATGTCGGAGACGAGGAATGGCGCGAAATTTCTTTGAAAGCGATTACTTGGAAGACCGTGAAGGAAATTACGGTATTGTGTAAGGTAACGAATGTAGGCTATTCCTGTTTCAAATACAACGTGAAACACTTTTAAGGATATTAATGTATGTATTGGTTTAGTATGAATTCTTAGAAATATTATCCTCACTCTGTTGTATTTCTTTGATGCTAATTCCTTCTCTAGTTCGGCCTGAGCCATCTTGCAAAACGTTTTTTCAAGAACTTGTTCTTCCTCAGTCATGCGGTCCAGAAAGTCTTCGCGTCTCTTGATTTGTTGCATCAGATCACTGCAAATCTTCTGCCTGGTCTTAATCTTGTTTCCAAGCACTAAAAGATAAAAAAATTTATTAAACAAACGTGTATGTGACATTTGAAGCTCTAATGGAACAGGAGATGTCGAATTTGTTCTTCTGCGTTGTCTTTCCACGTGGACTTGTTAGTATAAATCATCCTTTCGGAGAAACTTGCTGGCTTCAACCCTCAAGATTAAGACAGTATGTTCCTCCGAAACGGTGGTATCTGCCTAAAAGTCCACACGGAGTTCTAATCCATACGACGAATATCAACCATAAAAATGTAACTTTACAAGAAATATTTACAGGCGTAAAGAAGCTATCATAATTTTTTATTTGATATCGTAAATGTTCGACTAAAATTGTATCTTAACATATCTATACCCAGATATTATCAGTGTTCAAGAATTGAAGCAATACAAAAGGTTTTTCGCGCGTTCTTGGCGTACGTGCACATAGCGCGTGCTAACGTTCCGCAATGGAAAAACAAAATTGGGTAATTTCGATTTAGGCCTATTCAGTTTTTTTATATTTTTAATCATTTCTTCATGTAACGCTGAGGAAAACCTAAGTAAGCGTCTATGTAATTGAATATTTTATTAACGATTTGTTCTAAATAGAGGGATTATCATCCTATACAGTGTACTGTGTCTCTGTAAGCAGTACTTTTGCATCGCCACTGAAGAAAAATTTCTATCAGTTAAATATCCTACTGACGAAATAATTTGTCGACAGTGAAATTATGAGCAGTATATTTAAATCTGAAACAAATTAACATGAAGTGCAATGCGTATTTCAAGATCGAAAAGTACGAAAGTATCACTAATAAATGTTTAATCATGTATGATAACAAATATATAAACGCAATTGTTTAGCGATTGTAAGCGAGATTTCATGTTCTCACGGCTAATATGATTTCATTTGGGATATTGCGTTGTGTAATCTCATATGAATTGGCTGACGTTTCAGAGGTTCATGTTTAAGTTTCGACCTTGTCGGTCCAGCTTCTATGCCTTCACATCCTTTTTTCATTCGCGACTTACACTAGCCCCTCAGAGTCAGTGAATTGTCGTTGTTGTCTACGAGACTGTGAGCGCAGCATCCCAGAAGAGAGTCATTTTCATCTTCAGCAAGTATTTACCTTTCGTTTCCTCTTCTTGTATTTCTTTCAGATTTTTCTCTTTCAACTTCGCTTCTTCATCTTTTGACCTCTGACGCTGCTCCAGATTGTGTGCCTCGATGGATTTCTGCTGCAGTAACAGAACCTCGGCAACTTCTTTGTCCTTCTGAAACTTCTTGCGCGCTTCTTCTGTCTCTCTAGCAACCTGAGGCCATTTGAAACACAAATTACTTCGTCGGCTTAATTCAAGTCTCAAATACGATAGCACAAAGTTTCTCAACCGGGGGTCCACATGACTGAAGGGTCCTCGAGATTGGGATATACTAATCAGTAGAAAATGAATTATTAAGGATTATTGATGTTTGTAAAAGTGTGTTTCTCTTACCTTAGCATCGTATTCTTTTTTCGCCACGTCTGCCCACAGATTTTCAACTTCTTTTTCCTGAGCTTTCATGTATTCTTTCTCCTTCATCTGATATTTCTGCCCTCTTTTCGCATCTTCCGCGAATCTACGCGACTTCATGGACACCAGGTCTTCACACATTTCGCTGTTAGTTCAGTCACAGAACAGAGGTATTAATAAATCAATATTATTGTTTCTTCGATCTTAACTGTTGCGTTTTCGACAGGAAACGTTATTACTCTTTATTTATAGTATGCAGTCACGTGAGAAACCTATGAGTGTTGGCTTCAATGCAGCTGGAATTAAATTACTATTACTAAATTTTATTCTAATCTGCAATGCACATACTTTGAATAATACAACAAGGATAATCAAATAGATGAGGATCAGATGAACAGGACGTGTAGTATGCATGGGACAAATATTAAATCATACAAATTTTTAGTTGGTAAGCCTGAAGGAAATATGCCACTAGGAAGAACTAAGATTAGTTTACACATTCAATGGGTCAGAAGTTCTAGATTCTATTAACTTACAAGTACTGCTGAATCCGTTTCTCCTCTACAATTTTCTTTCGTTCGGCCTCTCGTCTGTTTCGTATTTCTTCAGCTTTAAACTTCATTTCTTCCAGTTTCTTCTCGTTAACTGCCTGTCCCTTTTCTGCGTATTCTCGTGTCCAAGCTGATGCTTCTTCTAAAAGCAGACATCTCAGTCTGTCAGCATCGAAAGAAAATGTTACTTAATACTTGTATACAAATAATCTTTACAGACTAATGCGTCGTAAGAAATTGTAATTTGAGCTTGAAAAGGAATTCTGATAATATCAGTTACGTTTGTTAAACTGTATTCCTCTATGGTCAGACACAAATTCGTTTCTCTCTTTGTTCAGTGATTCAAACCTGTAATTTAAAGTTCTGTGACTTTCGAATAAGATAATACATTTTAAATATCGATTTATGTACAGTTTATAATCGCACTGAGTGAATTAAAACAAGGCCGCGAAACTTTATACTTAATATGGCTTGAAAGTTGCATATAAATCCAGACAGACTTAACAAATTGCCACATTTGAAAAAAAATTCCTTTTTCGTAACACTATAATTGTTAAATGAACGTAGGAAGAACAACGTAAATTCCAATGAATTTCTGTCTTAACCTGAGAACTCTGTTTTATATAATACTACCGTTAAATAATACGCGTTCTTATTCTAAAACAATGGGACGTTATTACATAACTATAAAGATCGGAATGTATACGCTTCTCCTAGAATTGTTGGAGCAGTTATATTAACGTAGTATTAATATTCTGTCGCGAGAATTCTTGGACGTGAGACACGATAAACAAATTCATAAACGCGATTCGGAACATTCTGTGCCCTCCATTTTTATGGATCAAACCAACTAATAAATTACTCCCGTGCCAGAAATATAGGCAGCTTACTTTTCTCTGCGTGTCTCCATGTCTCGCCCCGCAGACTGTAGTTTGTTCGCCAATGCCTTCCGCTCCGTCCCTTGGTCGAACTCTTGTCTTACGAGATCGTAAGTTTTCTTAACGCTTTTCGACTTGTCTCCAGTCACTTGTTCCATCCGATGTTGTTAATCAGACACGTTCTGGACTTCTCTTTGTATCTCTTGAGAACTTTGCTGTAAGAAACATCAATTTAAAACAAAGAATCACATAGTCTGCTACTCGCATCCTGGAACTGTTGTTCTATTGAAGTGATACTTTTAAAATATAATTATTTTGACCCTGAAGATGGAGGTTTTAAGTTGGTCTGAAACGTTGGTAACCACCTACAAGAGTACGCAGCCTAATGTGGCAGAAAGCCACAGTCCATAAATTTATGAAAGCTTGCAGACATTGTGGTATCTGTAAATTTGTTTCCATTAAGACAATTTTGCTGTTCCGTATCCATTTTCTGAACATCAGATCGATATTTTGTGAATGTGTGCATGCATGCAAGAACTTTTTTATCATAATTCGAGTAGAGGCGATGACGTATCATCGATGCGACAATTCGCTACTCGTTCCCCTTTTCCTGCATCGTTCACTTTTTGTTTCCATTCCTACCCGTGTCACCTTCCCCATGCTCTGGAAACACGTCACCCATTTGCTGTCATGCCAACATGGTGACGTCGCCTAAAATTTTACTTTTGATAATATAAAGACGACTGCCGAAACAGCTCGCCCTAAACAAAGATTTCAACACTGGAGATTAGAAACACATGATCTATAAAAACTTTTTCCTCTCTAAATTTGTACATATTTTGCAAAATAACCAAGTTCTCCAGTGGCCCGGACTTAGAGAAAATTTAAATTTATTTTTTTAACGCTTATTTCTGCCGAACTGTAGGCATATGACCATAGTTTAGATTTGGTTAACTTCGGTAAGGTTAGTTTTTGTTTTGGAATAACGTAAAACTTTGGATTTGCTAAATTATTTGTTTCCTTAATCTGAATCTTTTTTACTTAACTTTTACTATTCATAGCTGTATCCGTTATACTGCGAAATCTCAGTTTTATGGAATTACATAGTGCCATTTCCTCCTCTGCAGTCGCTTAGTCGCTGTACCGTTGTTGTGACAGACGTCAGATTATTCTTTTAAAAGAACAGAGTATTCCCGTTAATGGCCGAGTTGCATTGGAGAAGAAGCCAGTAGTTAATATAAAAGCTTTTTAGGGTTTTTTGTACATGCATATATGCTCTTAGTAGAAGTCTTAAAAATTCTCGCATTAAGCAATTGCATTCTCTACTGCTGCAAACAGTCGAACTTGAAAATGTATGATTAAAAAATTGCAATTAATAAAAATTAAACACAGATCCTAATACAGGAATAGCAATTACTGTATACTTACAATTTACGCGTTACAATAACACACTCAGCTCTTTGGTATAATGTGCCATCAACTCGCCATATTTGTTGACTTCTTGTTACCAAGGTTACATCTCGCCAAACAGCTGACGATTGTGTAAAGTGGGGGAGGGGGGGAAGATGCGATCAATACAATTACAACGTAACCGGCGGTCAGTGAATCTTTGCGACTTTCGGCTCTTGATGTCATGGGCATAGACAAGACAATTTCATACCTCTGCTATGATTTACAACTCCACGCTCCCTAATTCAAATAATTATGAAAATGGCTGTCTTCTGGAATATTATAAATTTACCGAAATTGCAGAGATGGAGGCAGTAAACTCCTCTGAAACGTCGGTCAGTTTCAACAAGATTACACGGTGCAACAACCCAAAAGAGTCATATTTGTACTCGCCGCCGTCATAACCTCAAATCCTACAATTTTAACGAACTGAAGAAAATGAATCGAACAATCGAAACTTCGAGTGTAGTCGATAGCGCGACAGAGAATCGAACCGGATATCGATCTAGTATGAATCACAATTGATAACGCGGCTGGAAAATCCGTAAAACAGCTTCACGGTCACTGCAGTTCACCGACGAACTTCCCAGCTGTAGGACAGTTACTTACCTGAACAGGAAGTCACGTGAGGGATGACGTAATCGCTGCATGCCTCGCTTGTGCTCGCCTATTGAATGTCAGTATCCCCCTACGCGGCGCAGTGCGGAGTATGGGTGCGGTGAGGTGAGAATGGAATTGGTATCCACCAAAATCCTGGTTCTGACATTGCTGGGGGTTGTCCGGTTGTTCTTCGGCTTGGTGCCATTAAAAATCACGAAGAATCTCAAGTTGTGGGGGGAGAGTGCGTCCCATAAACTGGTGGAACGTCGTCGTGTCCGGGTGGGTGCGGCTATATCGCTGTGCTTGTGTTTTGGCGGAGGGGTTCTGTTGGGCACGTGTTTTATCCACATGATACCGGAAGTGCGGGAAACAATAGAGGCTGTGAAACGCACTGATTCCAGTGTCGTCTCCCATGACACCAGCTTTCCTTTCGCAGAATTCCTTATCTGCTGCGGTTTCTTCCTCGTGTATGTGATTGAAGAGGTGGTACATCGTCTGTTCGTCTACTCCGGTCACAGTGAACATTGCACGTACTCGACCCCGCCTCAGTGTTGTTCTGCCCCAGAAACCGAGGTCAAAAATACTGAAGGAAACGCTGGAGACAAGTTTACGTTCCGCGATGACACAGATGTGCCACTTTCTGCCAAAAGTCGGGCAAGGTCAGGTGGTAAGATAGCTTCAGCATCTTCCCAGATACATCTAATCGCTTCATCTCTGTCCCTGGAACAGGGCGGTGAGAACTCCGACGAATTCACACTGCCTTGGCATCCGACTGTCTTTACTGTCGCCAGTGGCAGCACCTGTCACTCTTGCGATGACAAAGCGAAGTCTGAGACGCCTCGCCATTGCAACAGTGGCTTCGCGTCACACACACTCAACCAGGAATCGATGGTAGGGAGTCTTCGCAGGTTCCTGGTGGTTGTAGCGCTTTGTTTCCACTCGTTGTTCGAAGGCCTCGCCATTGGTCTGCAGGAAACCCAGCGCGATGTGTGGTATCTGTTCGCCGCTGTGATCATCCACGCTTGTGCCATTCTTTTCTGTATAGGATTGGAGCTAGTTACATCCGGTATCCGTTTGTTGAATCTCGTGTTGTACATTGTGACACTGTCCCTCGTCTCACCTCTTGGTGTGGCAATTGGTATTTTGATGACTGTACACTCTTCCAGTGGCGGTCCACTACACGGTCTCGTGGTAGCTGTGCTTCAAGGCATAGCAGGGGGAATCATCCTCTACATAACGTTCTTCGAAGTGTTGGACAGAGAAAAGAGAAGAGAATCCGGATGTGGAATCGTGAGGATAGTCTTCATTCTCGTTGGCTTCTTCTTGATGGTTGCGCTTCAATTAATGGGTGAGTTAAACGTTTTGAAGTGCCAATTGAACCCTTGAATTCGTGTTGTACATGAGTACGTAATGTAGACTATTTAGATAGTAGCCGTCAACAAATTGCATGCTTTTAGATTATAGCAAAATCTTGCAACACAAACAGCGGAGCCCAGGAGAGTGAAGACAGCTCAGAACTCGCTGGCGACTTAGAAACGCGCAGTGTGAGGGATGCAGTTCTTCCACACCTTGAAGCATGCAATTTGGTGACGGCAACTATAGTTTCAAATTCTTTAGGGGAAACAAAATTGTAAACGGGACAATGAAAGTGAAATGTGTCTTAGATAGTGTTGAGAGTTGGACAAGGGTCAGGATACAGTCCATATCTCAGGTTAGGTTGTCAGCTTCCTATTCACTGCCACGAAAACCTCAAATCCTGTTGACAAACCATTCACGTTTCAAAGAAAGGCCCTGCAGAATCGAGTTAACAGGGAAGACAACATAAAATTACTTCTGTTCCATATTCGTATAACTCGGTTTTGGAACCAAAATTTGACACATACAGAGCATTAAAGAACTTATCGACTATTACGTTCTGAAGGAGGATCACTCAGTTGAATTACGTATGTGAAATTTAATTCTTAGGGGTTCTGACGATGGTGGGTTAAACTTAAAATTGTGAGTCAGTATCCAAACTTCCATTGTGAAATGGGTTGTGATTTATATATGCAGGAGGACATGACCACAGGAAGGGAGGACACACATTCGGTCCGTCCAATGCCACCGCCTTCCTTGAACCTCATGGTCATGACCACAAGTAACAGCACCCAGAGTAGAGCAGCCCACTGCAAAAGAAGTCTTCCAGCTAGACGTTAAAGCACCTCGTGTGCGTACATGGAACTTGGGAAACAAATTTAATGAATTCATTGTCAGATATCTTGTAAGATTTAAGAAATATATACTCCAATTTCTTCTGTCACAGCGTTCATTCCGAACTTTAAAAAAGTAATTGGAGGGGAGAACACGTTGCAACATTATGAGTAATGGTAAAATTTCACTGTGTCATATTAATGGATGGGGGATATTTGAATCTTAAAAGTGTTGCACAAGTAATTGTCACTGCACATAGCTAAACAAATAATATTAGAATTTCTGTGACAGCTTGGACTGCTGCTTTCAACGAAACCCCATCCTTGAATGTGGAGGAGTTTTACGAACATTCGCTGTAACGATCGTCACAATTCATTCAAAATTTCTTAAAGTCGCCAATAGATGGTGTTCCTTACAAGACGAAATGCCAAACGTATAGTGAACATAATTGTAAGATTTAAATTAATAAACTTTTAAAAAATATTTTTATTACAATAATTATTAGAAAATTATTATATTATTATACTAAACTGTTCTTGGTTAATAAAACTAATCTAGCCAGTAAACAACGTTAGTTTACATTTCACGCCGTGTGGCGTACGTTACGTATTGTATACGATAAACCATAACGCATGTATACATTATAATAAAACGTATTGTGGTATTCAACCTTTTTTGTTCCCGTACCCCCAGATATAATTTCTCTTCAACTTTGTACCCCCAACGTTTTTGGTGTAGAATTCAAGTTATACATAGTATATAATCTACATCTAAAATAAATTAAATAAATTACATTACTGATTATCATAATTTTTTTTAAATTTTCACGTACCCCCTAAGATGTCTTCGCGTACCCCCAGGTTGAATACCACTGGTATAGACCATTCGATGTTTAGTACACATCAAATTCTCCATAAAACAGACTGAACCTTTAAAGCATAAAAGAGCATTTATCAGCATCAGATCTGACAAACCAAATCCAGAATATGCCCAGCACATTCTGAAAAGAGAACAAACATATGGTATTCGAATGACATTATGAAAATTCTAAAAGCAGCTAAGGGTAGGCATTTAAATTCACTCGAAATATTATCATATACACAAACAATAAGAATGGCATGCCTAACCTCACTTACATTATTTATGATTACTGACAGCAGATAGCAGCACTATCCACAGACACTACCATAACTTACACAAACAACAAGAATGGCATTCCTCACTTACAGCAGATGGCAGCACTATCCACAAGCACTACCATAACTTACATCACCAGACCAGGAATCAGATCTTCATATACCAAATATGGTCACGGTCAAACGCAAATAATGCTACAAAAATTATATTTGATAATCCTACTTAATACACAAATACATAAGTCTGCCACACCCCAGGTAGTAGGTAATAGAGACATTTCAGGATGTCGAGTGCAGTAAACACCTGAAACATTAGTCCATTGCTGTGACACCAGATGGTGCCAGATCCCAGAAGACTTCACCTTCAAAAATGTAATAATCCGCTATTACTGTTCAACATTCATAGAAGTAGAGTAAATGTTAAACAACTTTAAAAGCCGTAAATATTATCAGTTGTGTCAGCTCAGAAGAGTAAGTAGGTAGTTCTCAATCACTGCTTGAGCTGAAACATAAAATAAAATGTATTTACCGAATATTACTTGTTGAAGAAGAGTCAAAGTATATTAAGTCAGTGATGACTATTACAACCAGCTGAAAATTTTGGTTTCTTTGCTTTATATCGGGGGGGGGTTTTAGTAAATACCGAAGTAACATAAATGTCCCCTAGATGGCTCTTCATTATTTCCTTTGGTACTGTGTGGTCCCAAATTACTTATTCACGTGCATATTTAAACACAGAAACATCTGTGACTCAGTATAAAATTTTCAAGAAGACACCAGCAATCATCAAATCATCATCCCCATCTTCACAACCTCAAATCCTCAGATTTATTAGCAATTTCTGATACCAACTTGATGACACACATTGCTTGTGTTATGCCCTT